CGCCCCAAAAACTAACCTGCAGTGGAGGACGCCATCTTATCCCATTGCCAGTACTGAACGAGGAATCAGCTGCCAGGCCAACCTCATTCTGAACATGAAATTGAGGGGTGTCAGGGAGGGTCTCATCTTACCCTTTACCTCAGACAGCAAAATGTCTTGGGCTGGCCAAGCAGAAACCTAATGGAGGTGGGCTGTGTGAGAGTTTGCTGATTTCCCCATGGATCCAGATGCCTGCGCTGCATTTTGGCAGGCCTTTCAAGAAAATGTTCTTTTGCCATTATGCAAAGTGGTGTTAAATCTGGCAGTTTGCAGCATGCCGTTGGGCGCCCCTCCCTGTAGGAAACAACCAGATTCATCAATCTGTGAACAAGCCCTTTGTCAGCTCTTGTTACAGTCTCACTGGCGCTCAAGTCATAGGTCTGCTCCGCCCCGTTCCGTGTAGATTTTATGACAGAATCCACACAAATGGTCCACACAGAGCTTCCCATAAGATACACATTTTTCAATACTTTTCGTGGCACTTTTCTGTAAAATAAACATTTTTCCTGTAAAATACATACTGTTACTGTTTTGCATACCTTGAATCTGGAGAATTGCATCATCAGTTGTGTTTGATCTGTGAGCTAATTTGGACTACCAAATCCGGTCTGTACACTACAAAAGCAGACTGAACAGATTCCTACCCAATCCCTGCCTCTGACTTGAGCCTACTCACTTCAGTGTCTCTTCTTGCAGGTGGCTATGCATGTTGAAGCTGACCTTTTCCGTTGCTTTCTAGGCTTCCAGAGTTTGGGTTCAGAACAAAGTGGATGAATCCAAACATGAAATACACTCTCAGGTTGATGCCATCACTGCAGGAACAGCTTCTGTTGTGAACCTTACAGCGGGTGAGTTGGCAGTCGCTGGTGTGCAGGTTCCTCCTCAGTGTCATGCTGGCTTATGGGTCATCCAAGAGCCTTCCCTTCTGCAGATGGCTGCAGACCTTCATGCGGGAGAAATGGGGGACTATGGGTGGATTCAGATGGCAATGCTAAAACATCATTTGGAACTGTACAAAGAAGCCTGAGGAACGTAGGAAGCTGCCTTAGAGCAGGTCAGACAATTAGTCCAGATTGCTCAGTTGTTATTTACTCTGACTGGTGGCCGCTCTCCAGGGTCACAGGTAGAAAAGAATCTTTCTCATCGCAGATTTGAAGAAGGTGGAGAAGGAAAGGTTTTTCTTCCTGTCTTGTAACACTAGAATGTATGGTCATCCAATGAAGCTGAACATTGGATTATTCATGCAGCACATCGTTTTAAAAAATAAAATAAAAAATATGTTCTTGATTTACAAAAATATTACATGCATTGCCTCTTTTTCAGGTTGTAGAGTCTTTTCTACAGATCAGTTCCATTTGATGTGAGACATTAGTGTTGTGTACAGTATAAGGTGGGGGAGGGGTGGTAAAGCTTATATTCTTTTACTTAGTGTGTGCATTTTGTGTCAGTGTCACGTGGGTAAGTTCTCTTTCTATTCATTTATTATTTTCCCTTGGCAGTGAGAAAGGGGGGGGGCAGGCCATGTTTGGTTGTCTTTAGTTGACAGCAGCGGGAGTTGTTTGCATGTGGGGGGATTGTTGGGTCAGGTTAGCCATGTTGATTCATATGCTTTCAGTGGGTTCTTGTTGTTGGGCTGTTTGTGTAATAAAGGGGAGCTGGTTTGTTTTGTTTTCTTCTTGTTTTTATTATGTACTTTGTGGTTTTATTCTGTAATTCTATGCTGTGCACCACCCTGAGATCTTTGGCTGAAGAGTAGTATACAAATATAATAATAATAATAATAAAGTGTCAGTGCAGTAGCACTAAAATCTTAGCACAGAGATGGAGACCCGAAGGCCATTCAGAAGTTGTTGGGACTACAGCTTTCATCAGCCTCGGCCAGCATGATCAGTGGGGAGGGACAATGGGAGTTGTAGTACAACAGGGCACCAGGTTGAGTAAGGCTTCTGTATAAAATATAGGCTAGGGACACGGAACCTGTGGACCTCCAAGTGTTTGTTTGGAGTCCAACACCCATCAGCCCCAGCCAGTGTGTTCAGCTATCAGGAATGATGGGAGTTGTAGTCCAACAACATTTGGAAGGCACCAAGTTCCCAAGCCGTGACTTAGTAAACAAAAGAAAAGAAAACATTGTTAACTGCTGGTCTCTGTGTTGACTTTAGGGGCTATTCATTTACTGACCCATCCGTGGCTGATCCTTCCTGTTTGGCAGGTGACCCAGTTGACACGGACTACACTGCTGTGGGGTGTGCGATCACCACCATCTCTTCAAACCTCACTGAGATGTCCAAAGGAGTCAAGCTTCTTGCTGCGCTAATGGATGATGACGTTGGAAGTGGGGAGGACCTATTGAAAGCCGCCCGCACCCTTGCAGGAGCTGTGTCGGACTTGCTGAAGGCTGTGGAGCCAACGTCAGGAGAGGTGAAGTCACAGAACTGACTCATAAGCACAGAGTTCTGACACTAGATACTGGGGGAAGGATATGTTGAAATCTGTGAAAAATTGCACAGTTGCATTTTTTTAAGGGTACTTCCCAATGGCAAGATTATGTAAAAAGGTAAAGGGACCCCTGACCATTAGGTCATGTAGCTCCTTATTAAATGGATGGGTAGAGCAGAGTTAGTCAATGTGGTGTGCTTCTTGTCAAGTGTCCCCAGCCTGGTGCCCCCTAATCGTCATTGGACCTCAGCTTGCATCACCTTCCCTCACCATTGCCCATGCTGGCTGGAGCTGATGGCAGTTGTGGTCCAACTGGAAACCAAAGGAGGGCAGAGAGCTCTTGTGCTCGGGTCTTGCTCACTGGTTTCCCACAGGCATCTGGTTGGCCACTGTGAAAGCAGGATGTTGGAATAGATGGACCACTGGCCTGATCCTGCAGGCTCTTCTTGGGATCTTATTTTCCACATTGACTACCCCTGGGGTAGATAGGGTTTTGGCCCTGACTGGTGGTTTGAATCTTCCTGCCTTCTCCTTAGCCCATCCCCCTGGAATGGCTTTCCTAGGATTTTCATCTTACTAGGTCTTGTCTTGAAACCAATAATCTGTGCTGCTGTGTTCTGTGTGTGCCTTTCTCTTTCTCTCAATCCCCCAAATGACTTACCAGCTGTTAACACACATTCTGCCTCTCCCATGGAGCTCTCCAGAATTTCACCAACTGGGGCATGCTCAGAATTTGCTCATGCTCTCACTTCAGCACAGGGGTCCACGCATGCAACCCAGCAAGGCTTCTGTTAAGCTACAGATGGCCTGAGCTGTGTTTTCCCTGCTGGAATTCAAATCCTGAGTCCTGTATGTATATCACGATTTCATACAGGTGATGCTCACATTGATAACTCCTTTCCCAAAATTTTGCTTCATGTTTGCTGTTCTGAAGGATGTAAGGCTGATAGTCAAAACAGGAAGTGCCATATTAAGGTAGTACTATTACTGGGCAACCAGATGCCTGTGCTCAGGGTCTGAGCACAGGAGTCATTCTCCCCTCCTGTGGGTTCCAGCAGCTGGCAGTCAGAAGCATCGTTGTCTCCAACAGTGGAGGCAGAGGCACCAATAGCCTTCTCCACCATGAATTTGCCTTTTAGGCCAACCAAGACTTCACAAATAGCGTGCAAGCTTTGGAGTTCTCTGCAAGTGTTCTGGGAAGAGTTACTGAGAACCTGAAAGCTTACACATTATTTTGTGACATTTTGGTTCACCTAATAAAGGCACTGCAGGGATAAGGAGTTTGGAATGAGTACTAAGTACCTACCTCTACACAATGATAGTTTTCTCTTGCTTTCCTGAAAATTGATAATGTCTCGCACTTATGGCAGTGAAGTCTCTGGTGCTGACTGGCTAAAGTCATGTTCAGTTGTGCAAAGAACCAAACAGTTATGCAGTCTGGTTTCTATGAGTGAAGGGGAAGCCGTCCGTTTAGCTGGGATTAAAAGCTTGCACATTTGTAGGTTGAAGACCTAAGAAGTGATGTAGGGGCATTAATGGGACAAGGAAGCTCAGAGGAAAAGAGACTGAAGAAAAGGTGTAAAGTTAATAATAGACCGAGAATGGGTAGATGAAGACTGAGACTTGAAGAAAGAATTTCCTGGCTGATGAAGATGCCTTGTGTGTTTAGGCTATAGTTGGATCAGCTCATTTTTGATAAGAGGCCTGCTCTGTGTAGCAACATGCTCTGTCGATGTTCTGGAAAACAAGTGATCTGAGAACCTCACCTGCTTGTATTAGCCTAGTAGCTTAACTTCATAATCTCTTTCTCTTCCCCCTAACTAGCCTCGCCAGACGGTCTTGACAGCAGCCGGGAGCATCGGGCAAGCCAGCGGCGAGCTTCTCAGACAGATCGGAGAAAATGAAACCGATGAACGATTCCAGGTGAGGGCATCTCCTGTGCTGTTCCTTTTCCACCTTGGATCTGAGTAGAACATTGCTGTGAGCGTGTATAATTCAGAGCCACAACTCCCCTGAATAAGTTTTCAATTGGTTACTCCTGTGAATTTTAGCTGATGATTCCATTACTCTGTTGATTTAAATTTGCACATGGGCAAAATTTGTGTATGGGTAAAGCAATATTTCTGAAGCAAGAAGCATTTTATTTGCTTTTGTCTCTAGATGTTAGGCAAACACTAGGCAGGGGGTTGGGAGATTGGTCTAGGAGGTTTCACTCCTGTTTATGACTGAGAATACCTCCTTTAAGATGGTGCATTTCAGGTTCGGCCTTTTCAAGCAGTTCTGCTTTATATTTATCAGCTGCCCTGTTAATCAGGAATGCCATTTTTAGTCAGTTAAAACTGATTAATGCAACCAATTAATCAATTAAATATTGTGGCCCCAATATAAATGTTTTCAGTACCATAAGTACATTTTCTGTTCTTACATTTAGCTTTATATTATCATCATCACCACCACCATTATTCCTAACTTCTGTCGTTATTATTTTAAAAAGAGTGTTTTGGCTTTTAGCTTTCAGAACAGGAGAAGGGCTGTAGCTCAGTGGTTGTGCATCTGCTTTGAATGCAGAAGGTTTCAGGTTCAATCCCCGGCATCTCCAGATAGGCCTGTGAAAAGTCTCCTGCCTGGACTCCTTGAGAGCCACTGCCAGTCAGTGTAGACAGTATGGAGCTCAACTGATCAATGGAACTCAGGGTGACTATATGTCCTCTTTTTTCAAGACACACCCCCTTTTTCATGGCTGGAGTCGTCATAGCGATCCACAGTTAAAAGCAGAAGTCAGCAAATGTGTCCTATTTTATGCTCTTCAAAATCTGGCAACCCTTTCTTTGGTTCCTGTGTTATCATTGGCATACGCTTTGTGATGATAAAATGATGTGTTTATGTCGGAGATAAAACTGAACTAAGCATGAATCTCTTCCTTGACCCTCTGCCTTTTCCAGGATGTGTTGATGAGTCTTGCCAAAGCAGTCGCCAATGCCGCTGCCATGTTGGTGCTGAAGGCCAAGAATGTGGCCCAAGTGGCCGAAGACGCGGTTCTGCAGAACAGGGTGATCGCTGCTGCCACGCAGTGTGCCCTCTCCACTTCTCAACTGGTGGCCTGTGCAAAGGTGCGACTCTGGTGTCGGTGGGAGGTTGGAACCCTTGCAGAATAGTAGCTCCTCGTAGACAGGAGTTTGGCACAAGGCAGAAAGAGACCCAGAGAAGTCGATAAAAAAGGCCCCAGGAGCTGTGATAACTGCATTGCAGAGGGTTGGACGAGATGACCCTCAGGATCCCTTCCACCTCTGTTGTTCTACGATCCATGAACACATCTGGGGCTGTGCTCTTTTATTTAAAATACAAGCATCACCGGAGAGTGCAAACTGTTTTCTCAATGGATGTTGACAATATCTAGCACAGCCTTCAACATTCTGATACTGTCCTAATGTGGATTGCAGCCATTGGACCTGCTAAATGAGGCTGATGGGAGATGCAGTCCAGCAACATCTGGAGGCCCCCATTGGCTCCCTCTGGGTTGGGCTGCAAGACAGCAGTAGGCCCAAGACCTCCCACCGCCACCTGTGTATCCTGTGTAGCAGGGTTTTATCCTATTGATCCCACCCCTCAAATGGAGTGGCTTACAAAAAACCAGACACACAGGCCTTTTCTGCCGTGGCTTCCCATTTGTGAAATGCTCTCCCCAGGGACGTTCATCTGGCGCCTTCATTATATATTTTGAGGCACCAGACAAAAACATTCCTCTTCGACCAGGCCTTGGGCTGATCAATATTCTACTCTACAGCCTTTTAAATGTGTTTGTGGGAGTTCTTGTTTCTACTTATTTGTGCTTTTATCTTGTATTCTTATCTTGTGAACCACCCTGAGATCTGTTGATGAAGGGCGGGATATACCGTATTTTTCGCTCTATAAGACGCACCAGACCACAAGACGCACCTAGTTTTTGGAGGAGGAAAACAAGAAAAAAATATTCTGAATCTCAGAAGCCAGAACAGCAAGAGCAGCAATCCCTCTTGCTGTTTGGGCTTCTGGGATAGCTGCACAGTCTGCATTCACTCCATAAGATGCACACACATTTCCCCTTACTTTTTAGGATGGAAAAAGTGAGTCTTATAGAGCAAAAAATACAGTAAATCTAATAAATAAAATTCATTGGGTGTCCTTGGGACATTCAGTCCCTCTCTCGGCCTAAATTCCCACACAAAGTTGTCGTCAAGACTAAGTGAGGGCGGGGCAGCCAGGTCTCCTGTGTGCAACGTGGCGGCTGTGCTTCCGTTACAGGTCGTGAGCCCTACCATCAGCTCCCCTGTGTGTCAGGAGCAGCTGATAGAGGCTGGGAAGCTGGTTGATCGTTCTGTGGAAAACTGTGTCCGAGCCTGCCAGGCGGCCACAGACGACTCCGAGCTGCTCAAGCAGGTCAGCGCAGCCGCCAGCGTGGTGAGCCAAGCCTTGAACGATCTCCTGCAGCACGTCCGCCAGTTTGCCAGCCGGGGGGAGCCCATTGGGCGCTATGACCAGGCCACCGACACCATCATGTGTGTCACGGAGAGCATCTTCAGTTCCATGGGGGACGCTGGTAAGCTGCTTGAATGCGGCAGGTCAGCCTTGATTGGGGCCAAAGGGGTGGGGGGTTAGTTTTCGTATTGCCCTTGGCCTCCCTCACAAGGTTGTTGTACGGATTATATACAGTGCTATCTAAGTGTCTGGCGTTGTTATTGTTTCTGATATTTGTAGATTGCCTTTCACCATTAAGCGGCTTATAGATCAGTAATAATATGATGCCTCGGTCAAATAGTGTTTAAAACAATAAAAGGCCACAGGTAAGAACGTGAAGTTGACCTAGTACAACTTACTTAAAATGCCTGCTAGAATACAAGTATTGTATGCACACAGTGATAAATACTGTATATACAGCACTTAATGAGTATAAAGTCCCGAGTAATGTTTGTTACAGTACATTCAGGAACATTATTTATTTGGAAATGCTACATCCCTGTCCTTCGGGAAATAGATACACGCTCAAAGAACTTACGAAGAGCCCTGCAGCTGGATCCGACTGTGCTTTCCACTGTGGCCCACCAGGTGTCCTTATGGGGAGCCCCCAGTAGGACACAAACAAAAGAACAGGGCCTCTCCCCACTTGTGATTCCTCCCAGCAAGTGATATTTGGAGGCGATACCTGGAAGTAGTACAAAACCACTTGCCACCAATAGCTTCAAGAATTTGTCTGGTCCTCTTTTAAAGTTATTTCTGCACAGCCCATGTGAAGGAGCACCTCCTTTCATCCTCCTTAAATCTTCCAACATTTGGCTTCCTTGGGTGGTCCCAGCTGGGTTCAAGAGAGGGAGAAAATATAGCATGTCTAGAATGGTGAAAGATTGAGTAACGGTCAGATATTTGTTAATATGAAAATCAAAACTTTGCACAATCTAAACAGAAATGAAATGATCCCGTCATGGCAAGTTGATTTGATGGGAGGTTTATGAGCTCTTGGGAGGTTCTTGTGAAGAGCCACACCATCAGATGGGGATGCCTCCAGGTGGTGCTGCCACAGCCTGTGGAGGTAGGGCCTTTTCTGTGGTGGCCCACCTTTTCCCTGGGATTGTTTCCCCTCAGAGCACAGTCTGGCCCTGCCCCGGGTGACATCTTGGCACACTCTTGCATTCCCATGCCTTAGCAGGAGTTTCATTTATGTAGGTGCTTCTAATTCACTTCTCTCTGCCTAAGTTATTAGATGCGTTTTCATCTTATCATGGCAACACTTTGTGTTTGCACCTATAGATGTATCTTTGTACCTTGTAATGTAAAGACAGTTGTGAGGAGGGGCTACAAAAATGTTTTCATAAACAAATAGATGTGACTAAAACAGCCTGTGGTGTTTTTGAAATGTGTTCCAAACATCCCATCACGATGGTCACAAGAGTTGGTCAGGAAGGACAGGGATGTGTCTGAACTGAACACTGAGGGATAAAGGAGAGATAAAAAGCAGATTTTTAACTCAATACTGTTGTAGGTGAAATGGTACGGCAGGCCAGGGTCCTCGCTCAAGCAACTTCGGATCTCGTGAACGCCATGAGGTCGGATGCCGAGGCAGAGATAGACATGGAAAACTCCAAGAAACTTCTGGCAGCTGCGAAACTTCTGGCTGACTCAACAGCCCGGATGGTTGAAGCTGCAAAGGTACTCAGCACAATTTGCCAGGTTGAAGGGGAATTATGGATTGATGAATTAGAGGGATGGCTGGATTAGATAGATAGATACATTTAGATGACATTTGCATACAGCATCTAAGTAGAAATCCCTGCAAAACATTGATGTTTGAAGTAGAGCATCCGAAGTGTTCCTTTTCAATATTGTAAGTGGCATCACTTCAAACTCTCTCTCTTTTTCTCTTTTTCTCTCTCTCCTATTTCCTCTGTGTATGTGCATGTGATCAATTCTGCCAGGGAGCTGCAGCAAACCCAGACAATGAGGACCAGCAGCAGAGGCTTCGCGAAGCAGCTGAAGGTCTGCGAGTGGCCACCAATGCAGCCGCTCAGAATGCCATCAAGAAGAAAATCGTCAACAGATTAGAGGTCAGAATACAGCCTGGGAACCTCTTCTTGTTTACCTTTTCCAATCAGGCATATCACAAATTTCACCAGCCTGGTGGCCTCCAGATGTGTTTGATTACAACTGCAGACTGTGGGGCTGATGAGGCCCCCACCCTTTCCCGCTTGACCTGTGGGGCTGTTTTGACCGTAGCACTCCTCCCCATCCACCCCTTGATGTCAGGCACATGACAGGTAAAGCCACAGCTGCAAACAGCGCTGAATTCAAGCGGCAGCTGCAAAGGAGCCCACCTTTGTATCCATGGCTTTGCCTTGAATTTGGCACCTTAGCCTGCAGTGCTGCTTTCAGCCACACTAGATGCCCTCTGTCACTCCTGCATGTGTCCAGCCCCTGCTCAAAGTTGTGTGGTATGGAAAGGTACCAAATTCAAACAGCACCAAAGGTAAAGTTGCAACTACAAAGGAGCAATCACAACCACTGTCTGAAGTGTTCCTTTGCAGCCATGCATTTACATTTACTGTACCTGTCATGTGGCACCAGGTGATTGACAGGTGGGGGGCTGGCCACTTTCAGATCTGGCTCTGACCAAATGTGGTTGCCCACCTGTGAACTACAAATCACATCAGCTTCAGCCGTGATGGGCTGAAGGGGCGCCATGTTGGCGAAGGTGTGCTCCAACGTAGCCTGGAGGGCAGAGAAAAAAGCATTTTGTTTTCCTGCCCAGCTGACAAAATCACCTTCTCTTATCCACTGCAAGACTTTTATGCAGGTGTAGACAGACTTCAGGCTAATGGGGTCTACTTTGTTCCTTAGTATAACCCCTGAATCCACCATAGGCAGCCAGGTGCAAAACAGTTGCAAAGGGGAGCTGATATATACTTATAATTAAGGGAGGGTGACTTCAAGCAAATGGTCAGCCCAGCATTTATTTATTTTCAATAACAGACTCTCTGTCCTTTTGCACACAAATAAATGCCTCCAGGGCTTTCTTCATTTTGACAAATAAATATAAGTATGCATATATGTTGCAAGACAGAAACTTACAGG